CGGGATGTTATCTTTGAATCAGATTCAAAGCTTCCTTCTAATAGAGAGGGTGATGTTATGCTCATCAAATATTTTTATCGAATCTCCTTCTTAAATGATATAACATAATTTTTTACTATTAGATAAGTGGGTTCCATTAATATTCAATAACGAAGATTGTGTCACATCATTTGGTATGAAAAATTTGGTAAATTTTTTTTAGTAAGCATAACATTTTTCTTGGATAAAATATTCGATATAACGGTGACATCACATTATTTCTAACAAATGATATTAATAANTATCTTAAATGATGTAACATAATTTTTTATTATTAGATAAGTGAGTCTCATTAATATTCAATAACGAAGATTGTGTCACATCATTTGGTATGAAAAATTTGGTAAGTTTTTTTTAGTAAGCATAACATTTTTCTTGGATAAAATATTCGATATAACGGTGACATCACATTATTTCTAACAAATGATATTAATAATCAATTATGAAAAAATACGTAAGAGTAAAAGATTCCACCAAATTTTATAACCGTCAATGACATTCATATTCAATAACTAACCATGTGAAATTAGTTGAATTCACGTATCTCGCTTACTTATTATTGATCGATAACTCCATGTGACGAATATGACGTTGTGTACATTGTATATTGAGCAATACTACTTACATTAAATTTATTGATCTAATTTGTTGATCTAGGGAATTATTATCATTAGAATCCGTCATCAATTCAATAATTATGATTCATTAGATCAACAAATAAGATTCATAAATTAATTCTAAATAGCATTTTCCATGGATATTTACTACCACGTCGCTTAATTCACTTCNTACCATGTGACGAATATGACGTTGTGTACATTGCAATACTACTTAGATTAAATTTATTGATCTAATTTATTGATCTAGGGAATTATTATCATTAGAATCCGCCATCAATTCAATAATTATGATTCATTAGATTAACAAATAAGATTCATAAATTAATTCTAAATAGCATTTTCCATGGATATTTACTACCACGTCGCTTAATTCACTTCCTTCACTTTAGTAAAAAATATTTTAGCTTATGATTTCTAGCATAAAATAAAGGGAGAATTTCACCTTGCACTCCAAAAGATTTAAGCTTTTTCGCTTTGTACCCTTAAATATTAAATTTTTTATATTACACCATCAATATATTTAAAGTATTGTAATATGATCTTTCCGCCCTTTTGTTGCTTATTTCATCAAAACTCACCCCATTGAAGTTGACAGAATGAGTATCAAAAATTAACAGAAAGATCATATTGCAACACTTTTGATACGTTAAAGGTGTAATATAAAAAATTTAATCTTTGAGGGTATAAAATAAAAATTCCTAAATCTTTTAGAGTATCAAGTGTAATTTTCCCTAAAACAAATGCTATTTTCCACCCTTTCCATTAAAAAAAATGAAAATATTACCAAATTGGTATCTAAATAATTGATCTTTTTCCCTATTACTTTTTTATGAAAATAAGAAAAAAAAAAAAAAAAAAAAAAAAGAATAATTTTTAAGGTAAATTACAAAAATCTACCTGAACTTGAGGTCTGCTACAAATCACTCCCTCATAATTATTAGTTGCACTTAACTCCCTCTTACTTGCGAATAAACTAAAAATCTAACAGAATTTGTTTATTGTAACGGTGCCGCTATTACACCCGCTAATTAAGCACGTGTGATATGAAATAAATAATTTCTTTTCCTATATTAAAAAATCATATTACAAATTTTACTCTTCATCCAAATTTCTAGCATTTCTTTTTCTCAATCCCCTTCACCAGCGCAACTCTCGTTTCTGCAACTCTCGTTGCTGCAACTCTCGTTGCTGCAACTCGCCACACCGATACAACTCACCCACCTAATCCACCCATAGTCGTTGCGACTAGGAATGACAATGGACCGGGTAAAAATGAGTATTCGTCCAAATCTGTCCCGTTTGGACTGGGGATGGGTCAAACGTATTAGACGGTGGACGTATACAGGAATACCTGTATTGATTTTTTTTTCATGATTTTAGCTTGTAAAAGTGTAGATTTTTATATTTTTATATTTTTTTATGTTAGATTATGTTATGTTACATTATGTTGTGTTGCATGATATTGCGTTGGATTTACAAAGAAGACAAAATTTTAATTATATTATGTTGGATTATGTTGTAGACAATGTTTTAATTATATTATGTCGTAAATGACAAACTTTTAATTATGTTATGATATTCTATTATTACGTTGGATTATTTAAAATGTTAGATTTATTTAGAATTTTGAATTATCTTAGCTTGAACTTGGGTTTGGGTTTGGGCTTGGACGAGGGTGGGGGCGCAGGTGAAGGCGGGAAACGAGGCAGGGACGGGGATTACAAATTTATCTGCGAACGAGAATAGAGATGAAATTTATCTGTTAACGGAGATAAGATTATAAATTTATCCGTTAACGGGATGTACTGGAGATAGACAAAATTTATTTAAGTGAGTACGAGAATGGAGACTACATCTCACCCCTTTTCGGTCCCCTGCCGTCAGTAGCTGTGACTCCCCCACCCAAACCCAACCCCCGCTGTCGTAACTCTCCTAACCCACAGCCACACCAACAAATCCCCTCTGTCGCGTCCAAGTTGAACAACTTTTTAATTTTGGTCAAACCTTTTGAACAAGTTAAATCCTGGCTCTTCTCCAACAAATGCAATCTCTCTTTCTCTCTCACACACACATTACACACTCTGTCTCGTTGTTATTTCTGTTATTCGAATTGGAGGAGTTTGATTGCTTCTTCAGTGGTGGTGGAGGTTTATGTGGTAGGTTGCGCTGGTGGAGGGGATTTGATTGGGTGTTCAGTGGTGCTAGTGGTGAGGGTTTGTTCACTTTGTTGAGTATTCAGTGGTGGTGGTCACATGACGGCGTCTTAAAGATAGAATCCAGGAATGAGGGTGTTATTGGTGCTTTGTTCATATAATCGAATTTGGTGATGAAGAAGTCTGGAGTTGTTGGTCAATTTGGTTATGGATCTCCATTTTTTGGGTAACAATCTTTGGGGGAATTATTGGGACTGAGGTTATGGGGGTGGAGAGGGAGTTTTATGGGTGGGTGTCATGGTAACGAGAGAATTTGCGGTAATGGTTTGGTGGTTGGTTGAGGTGGTGAAGAAGGAATTTGTGGGGCGTAGTTGTAATGGAGTTGGAGATGTTATGTCGTGATGGGGTGCTNGATGGATCTCCATTTTTTGGGTAACAATCTTTGGGGGAATTATTGGGACTGAGGTTATGGGGGTGGAGAGGGAGTTTATGGGTGGGTGTCATGGTAACGAGAGAATTTGCGGTAATGGTTTGGTGGTTGGTTGAGGTGGTGAAGAAGGAATTTGTGGGGCGTAGTTGTAATGGAGTTGGAGATGTTATGTCGTGATGGGGTGCTACTGTGGTGGTTGAGGTGGAAGTGTGCTAATAATCGTAGGTTTTGTTCTTTAAAGATAAGAGTTCTTTGATGACATTAGAGATGTTAAATGTGTCGGGTTAAATAGTTACGTATCGAATTAAATGTGTGACGAGTAAAAAACATGTAAATTCGTACATGTCGTGATGGGGTGCGACTGTGTGGTGGTTGAGGTAGAAGTGTGCTAATTGTAGGTTTTGTTCTTTAAAGATAAGAGTTCTACAATGATGGCATTAGAGATGTCAAATGCGTTGGGTTAAACGATTACATGTCGCGTTAAATGTGTGACGAGTGTAAAATATGTAAATTCGTACACGATACGTTTAATAAATGGGTGAAAAATATCAACACGTACACGACCCGTTTAATAAACGAGTAATACGAACGACTAATTTAATTTTAAAAAAATTATATCAACAAAATTTAATAATCTATTTTTTTTTACCACTAGCTGTACTTATTTCAAAAAAGAGAAATTTTAAGTTAAATTTCACATAAAAATCAAATTTGAAGGCTAAACAAATAAAAAGGACAAGAGGCCACTGTTTTTTATAGGCAAATCAACCCTCCTCATCTCCTATTATTTGTCGATATGGGACAAAAACAAAAGACATTAATTTGCCTTTGTCTTTAAACTGCTCCCCATCTCCCCTCATTTGTCTTTGAACTACTGTTTTACTTTCTTTTTTTTTGTATTGATTTTTTTCACTTCTTTTTTTTTTTTGGCTAATTTTATTTAAATGTGTGATAAACAATTTAACAGGTCTCACATGAACACAACTCGTTTATTAAACATGTCTTACGGGTCAACCTGTTCACTATCCAAACCCGTTAAGATCTCACTCAAATCCGTTTAATTCGTGTTAATTAATCGTGTTGTGTCTGATTTTGATAGGTCTAGATGGCATCATAAATAAAATTGAATTACAATCAAGGAATAATTTATTCTTTTTGTATAAACCATTACCTTTGGTAACATTTACGGTTTGTTCACAAATTAAAAAACGGTTCAGTGAAACTCTTAATTATTGAGAAGAGTAATGTGCACCTGACCTTTTTTTTTTTTTTTTTTCGTTGGTGGGGTGTGTCAGACCGAGGCAGCAGTGCAATGCCAAGGTGACGCGAGCCCCAGCAGCAAGCAACTGTAGGGGACCCTCCCTCAAAAAATTAATTTAATATCATGTGATACATTGAGTCACATATCAGATATTGAACTGATAAGAATGGTTATTACACTTAATCCCAAAAAACCGAGAAAGATACGACGTGCAATTGACCATAATTTCGGGTGAGTTTTCTATAATTTACCCTACTTTTTAAGGGGCCTTTGGTAGGATCTCTTATTTTTACTGTTAACTAAAGAAAGGACGTGAGAGAGAGATTTTCGGTTCTCTTCTCCATCCTCACCCAAAACAAGAAAATAAATAACAAAGAGAACGAAAAGAGAGCATTGTCTGGTGTTTCTGGTGTGCCAATTAACTCTTTCTCTGACCCCAAAAAAAAAAATATCAACTCTTTCTCTGTAAGAGAGAGAGAGAAGAAGAAGAAGAAGAAATGTGGCTTTCAAAGGGTAGTAGCGCAGAAAGGAATGGTGGTGGAAATAGGTTGGTGGCAGTTGCCATAGACAAGGATAAAGGTAGCCAGCATGCTCTCCGATGGGCCATTGACAATCTTCTTAGCAGAGGACAAGCTGTCGTTCTCATCCATGTCATACATAAACCCCTATCTGCTTCATGTAATTCTCTCTCTCTCTCTCTGACACACACACACACACACAAAAGGATGAAATTGTGCATAGAAAATATATATCACATTTGCAAATGCGACATCCGATAAGTTAAAAAGTTCTATTGGGTTAAACTAATGTCCAAACTTATGTCCTATACTGCAGAAAAGATCTCTGAGACAAGCAATTCATCGACTCTTGCTGCGTAATTGAAGTTATTTATCTGTCATTGATTTTGTTCGGGCACGATTGAATATCACTCTATGATAAAATAGGCCATCTTTTTTCACGGTTATTGCCATTTTACTGATTCAGTAAACTTATAAGAATATGGAAACTTTTCTTGTGTGCCTATTATATTGCCAGGGATCTCCAGTATATATATATAATTCATTGATCATGGGGCATTTTAAATTGTCCATCAGAATAGTTGTGTAATCTTTTTTTTTTTTTTTTTTTTAATGGTAAGGGGTGTCCGGGTGCTTACATATACCTTGATTAAGGCAGGCTATTCATAGTTGGAGTACGGTATTTATGAAGAATAAATCTCGCATAGTCTGACCCAAGAAATTGTCAAGATTCGAATTTAGAACTTCTGGGTTTATAGCTCATTTGGAATTGTAATCTTTTTCAATATTACCAAGAACCAGTTTGTATGTTTCTTGAATCGAGGTTTTTTTCGTGTCAATCTGCAAGAGAGGCTTTGCATTGTATTGAACTCTGTCAATGAAACTTTAGATGGCAAAATTTCTGCAGTTTTTTTGGTCAATTTTAGCTAGATGGCAATGACTTATTATGTGGATGCAGTTGGGAACAATGGTGCTGTTTCTGATGTCAATGGAGCTGTGTATGCTCATAAGCAACAAGTCGAGAAGCAAACCAACGAATTATTCCTTACCTTCCATTGCTTTTGTACCCGTAAAGATGTAGGTTCTGAAACTGTGTTCTTGTTTCTCCCTAATGGACCTTTTTATACAAACATGACATTTATTTCAATACTTTCCCTCCCCCCTTTTCTGTGTTTCACACATGCAGCTTTTTTAACAGATACAGTGCCTTGATATCATACTTGAAGATACAGATGTTGCGAAAGCGTTGACAGAATATGTTTCTTATGCTGCAATTGAAAACTTGGTTCTTGGTGCCTCATCACGAAATAGTTTTATCAGGTGATTTCCTCACATTTCAAATACCTTTCCTCACCATTGCCCCAATCAGAAGCAGGCTTAGTTTTTCACCTAGATCATACCAGGAAAATGATTTAGTGATTTAAGAGAGCCATTAAACTATCTAATGAAGAAGGCAGATTAACTACAAAGCAAACACATTCCATGCATGATAGTAAATAAAGAAGAAAAAAAATGATTGCTAGACATAACCATGGAAGGGAACACTAATCAGTCCATTAGTTACCAATACTTCCTCTTTTTCAGAACTCCCAAACTATACAATATCTACCCAGTCAAAAAAAGAGAACTATACCATATCTACTGCTGCTTACACTATTTTTGTTGTTGTAAACTTTTCGCAACAGAAAATTCAAGATTTCAGATGTTCCTACCAATGTCTCGAAAGGAGCACCAGATTTCTGCACCGTGTATGTCATCTCCAAAGGAAAAATGTCATCAGTGCGGAATGCCTCTCGTTCAGCGCCTTTCACTTCTCCTCTTCTTGACCAACTTCATGACCAAGTCAATAGCACTGGCTCTCTTGCTGATGCAAGGCCCAAGCATAGTTTTAATCTAAAAGGTTTGACTCTGTAAATTATGATGCTTTCTTTTGATTTTGTATTCTTTCTCAGATTTTCACTTGTAAAAGATGTGGAACCTGTAGCAGCAGTAGAAAGAACACCAAGAAAGTCTCGTAGTGTGCAAGATGACAACGAATCAATCAAGTAAGTCAGTATAAAGTTACTATATGCTCAAGGGAAAGAGAAAGGAATTTTGAGTATATGTTTGATAATGGTTGTATTGCAAACTTTTCAGGTTCAATTTTATCATAGAATTTTCAGACTCAAAATTTCAATCAATGCTAATCTACTGGGATAAGAAGTCAAATAATTTGGTAGCATAGTACTTACTAAATCACCTAAGCATGGTACTTTTTGACATATATATCTATATACAGAGAGAGATATAGAAGATAAAGAAGATGATGAAGGTTTCTATTAGATGCATACCATCAGTCTTTTGGTTGTTTTGTTGTGTTACGAGTGTTGTATAGATTGTGTGGGAGGACTAAATCCCTCACCATGTTGATATCAGATCACCATTAGTTGGAGGAAGAGGTTTACCTGGAAAGTTTGGCGGGGAGATCTCAGAATCAGATACTGACATATCATTTGTGAGCTCTGGGAGGCCAAGTATCGACCACATGTCTTCTACACTCTATGACAGCGTGGATTCTGTCCAGACATCACAGCTTTCTACTAGCTCAGACCACAGCTTCGGGTCCATCCGGCTGGGACCTAAGTGGACTGATATCAGCTCACTGCATGAATTTTCAACATCCTCATTTGAGAGTGGAAGGACGTCAACTTCGTCACAGGTAAACATGTAATCTCCTTTGAGTACAAATCTCTGCACTTGTAGGCACCACTGAACATCTTAATCTTGACTGCAAAAAATACATGCACTCATAGTTGTTAGTATCGTACAATATGCGATTCGATATATAAGATACACTTTGATACATAAAGAAAACAATACGTATCGCTTAAATATATTGATTTGCAATGTTTCATGCGATGCACGATACGATATACCCAATACAAAACGATACATATGAGTTGTCTGATAAGAGGTGAAATAGATAAAAAAAAAATTAAAAAATCACTCATTTTCACTCGGAAGTTATTCTTTCATACACTAAGTAATGAAACGACCTCGTTTCACTATCTACAATTTAAAAAATAAAAATCTTCTTTTTTANATTAAAAAATCATTCATTTTCACTCGGAAGTTATTCTTTCATACACTAAGTAATGAAACGACGTCGTTTCACTATCTACAATTTAAAAAATAAAAATCTTCTTTTTTATTCGTTCCATCTCGTGAACAAATAGTTTAATTGTTAAAAATGTCATCCTCTGACTACTTTAAATNTTAAAAAATCACTCATTTTCACTCGGAAGTTATTCTTTCATACACTAAGTAATGAAACGACCTCGTTTCACTATCTACAATTTAAAAAATAAAAATCTTCTTTTTTATTCGTTTCATCTCGTGAACAAATAGTTTAATTGTTAAAAATGTCATCCTCTGACTACTTTAAATATTAGAATTATAACTCTCTAAATTTTGATATTGATGAATTATGTTAGAAACTTCAAGACTTAAGATTTGTAATTTTTTGTTTTGGTTCTTGTAATCTCTTTAAATTGTTTTGATATAAGAAATTTGTGGTGAAATAAAATGTTATTATGACATTATCATAGGTATATGTATTTTTTAATATTTTTGATAAAATTACTCAAATGTTACGATACGCGGTTCACTGTTTTTGAAAAACGATACTACTTCCGACACACATTTTGACAACCTTGCATGCACTATATGATGTAGAGTAGGAATGAAANAAAATAATAAATAATTCTAAAATGCTGAACTTCCTAAAAATTCTCCAAAGATGATAAATATTATCCATTTAAGGGCCAATATATTTCAGAAATCTATTTAAGACTTTATAGAAAATTCTAAAATGTAACAATNACACTGTTTTTGAAAAACGATACTACTTCCGACACACATTTTGACAACCTTGCATGCACTATATGATGTAGACTAGGAATGAAAGAATTAGGGATAAGAAGAGAAGAAAAAAATGATGAGAAAAGAGAAAAAATTTGAGAATGAAATAATATCAGTATTCAATAATAATCAAAGTCTCTCTAAAACCTTAAATGCATCCTTTTATTTAAGAAAACCAAAACCTTAAAACAAATAAATAATAAAAAATAAACCCTCAAAAGTTAAAAAAAATTACTTAAAAGATAAATATTAAAAGTANCTAACTTTAAAAGTATCAATCTCTCTCAAATTCTTTTTCACTATTTTTTCCTCTATTCTCATCACCTATTTCCAACTTTTTCTCTCCCTCAAACTCTCATTGTCTTATTCCGGTTCTTTNTACAATCCCTATCATTTTTCCCTGATTGAAAAAAATCTTCTCCGGAGAGTCTTCAAAGTAAAAGTACCTTAAGAGAGCAGAATGAAGATGACAGAACGCCTCATCTATAATGAAAGAACTATCAACATCTTTCCATCGATCAAATAAATGCAAAAATGTCTATTTGTGGCAATATAAATCTAGTCATAGCACATCATCTATTTGACCCAAAATACGCTATAGAAGTGGAAAGATAAAAACTGGAGCTAGTGTTGAGGAAGAAGCAATTCCACCTGNTTTATTAAATCCTAGTCAATCCCAAAAGCACTAAAATATTGAAAATAAATCATACCGCAATTCTCTATAAAACATCTAATAATAGTTAAAAAAATTTATTATCTTATTAAAATATTAAATGAGGTATCATGTAAAATTTTCGCTTTAGACCTCAATTTACTTTGGGCCGCCCTTGGCTCTAACTGGAAGTTTGCAATCCTAGTTTTCAGTCCATATGTCCAGTCATACAAAGTGAAGTTGCCCTATGATACCACCACAATCTTGCAATCAGATTACCAACTGCAACATGTACTAATGCACAAGCTGATAAAAAGTGAACCATGTAGTCGTATTGTGAAATCAAGATCATTTTTGTTCTATGCTCATAAAATATTCAATATGCAGGATGATGCGGAAGCTGAGATGAGGAGGCTAAAGCTAGAGCTGCAAAAAACAATGGAGTTGTACAGTACAGCATGCAAAGAAGNTAGACTTAATTGAACACTTGACAATAGGCAAAGAAACAAAGTTAACACTCTCAAGTGGGGTAGAATCCAAAACATTGTCAACAATCTCTGGTAGAGAAGAATCCGAAATAAAATCAACACTCGCAAGTGGGGCATAATTCGAAATATAATCCACAACAATGCCTTTATGATTCGGAATAGTAGACACAAAATAATCGCCAACAGATTCTAAAATAGATAGCTCAATATGTTCAACATCTTGCATAGGAACCAACTAAATAGATTTTTTCTCAAGTTCAATGATTAGTGATGATTCAACTTTGGCTCTGATGAGGTAGGGAACATGATAGGATCAAAAATAATCTCATCACTAATATCGATNCAACCATGGCCAGCTCAACAATGGAGTGGAAAAAGCATGGGTTTTAGGCCCACACATTAAAAAAAAACCCCAAATTTTAAAGTTCAATAATTTAGTATAGATCAAAAATTAAAGCTCGTTATAATTTAGTTTAACAAAAAAACTTTTAAAAGATTAAGTCAAAATAAAATTTGGAATTTAGGTTTAAAAGTGCAGTCTACCTCACAAATATACATTACACATACATATTTATTAAAGGACAAAAAAGGTTAACACTTTAATAAAAGTATAATAAATATATCTCTCTTCCACAAATTAAAATAAATCAAACACATTTTTTATTTATCTCAAACTCGATTATGAACTCATTTCAATACAAAAACACCAACTAATTAAATTGTTCATTCTCATAAAGGATCCACAATAAAAATTAATTAATATCAAAAATAATTCGATAAAATTATTATCAGAGAAAGTAAAACACAACAAAATAGTAGGTGAGCATTACATATATAAACAAGTAATGGATTATAAAAATTTAAAAACAATAAAATAATTCAATAACAAGATAATAAAAAATTATGAATAATATTGATAGTCGATAATCTAATACCATAATTTTCATGAAGAACATACAAAACAAATAAGAAGAACATGAAAATAATAATGAAATAATATATTATGTTCCGAAAAGTGTGATTCAAGCAAGAGACGAGAGAGACAAATAGATGTGCAAATCTGTTTGTTAAAAAATATGTATTTATAGTCATGATGATCTATGTATATTTTCAATTCCTATGGATTTTACTATTGAACAATTGCACTCTTATAATATGATTATGAAATAACACATATCTAATGTTTATTATATATTAAATGTCAAAATTATTAAAAATAAAAATTATGTGACACCACGTTATAACATTGAACATCTTTACTATGACAATATCCCTTGTAACGGTCCACGCATTATTTTTGACAAATTTAAAAAATGCATAAAATATGGAGTAACACATATTACCTTTATTCCTTATGCGTCATCTATTAATTAATTTGTCTCACTTAATCGTTTTCATAGACGAAGACTCGATAATGAAGTGTAAACACAGACTACAATTGTTACGAGATGCACAAATACTTCGATTATTTGAATGGGAGGAGACATAGCAGTACATTAAAATAGTTTCCTAGAGCCCTAATTTAATTTTCAGTCATTAGGTCAACTTCATGTTTTGAGACCTTTTGAATAGATTAATTATTATTTTTTTGGCGAACCTTGATGGTACAAGAGAATTTTATTGATTAAAAATTAAAGTACACATATTTAGGGGGACTTCTGTATTTTACCTCGCAATGCAATCTAATTATAATAATTAAGGAATTAAAAAAATTCTAATTCATGGTAATTACATGAAAATAAAATAATAAATAATTCTAAAATGCTGAACTTCCTAAAAATTCTCCAAAGATGATAAATATTATCCATTTAAGGGCCAATATATTTCAGAAATCTATTTAAGACTTTATAGAAAATTCTAAAATGTAACAATATTTTCACGTGTCTATATAATGTCTTGTATATATAAAGTTCTAAAATATGACAAAACCTTCTAAAAAGATCTAAAAGTAACGATTTCTAACTTTAAAAGTATCAATCTCTCTCAAATTCTTTTTCACTATTTTTTCCTCTATTCTCATCACCTATTTCCAACTTTTTCTCTCCCTCAAACTCTCATTGTCTTATTCCGGTTCTTTCTCCTTATCTCTAACTCTCTTATCGTCTCTTTAAAATTCATTCAATTTTTTCATCAATAAGATCCTGACTTCATAATTGCACCCAATTT